TAAATGTATTCCCTGGATGTAGGATGCTGCCTCAGAGGAAAATAGGGGTGAATGAATTAAGTTAATGAGGGAAGAGTATTGAGAGCTGTTTGGGGAAGAAATTAAGGATTCTGAGGCAGTCTCGGGTGTCCATGAGAATCATCTGGTGGAAAAGGCAAGTTAGACAATGATATTGGGCTTGAGGTAGTTAGAGACATAGGAACCAGAGTACTTTTTCATACCCAGCACCACTATCCACATCTAAAGCTACCATCATCTCTCCCCTTAACTCTAGTTCTATTCTCATCTACTCGCATCTCTCAACTCCAGACTATCCCCACATCACAGTGAGTGATCATTTCAAACTGAAAAATAAGATCCTGTGTCTTCCATGCTTAAAGGGCTCCAGTGTTTTTCCACTGCTACTGGGATTTAAAAAAAACAAACAAACCAACTAAAATCCTGAGCATGCCTACAATGTTCCTGCTCCAGGATGTACCCCAACCCACCTCTCTCACCTCATCTCAGAAAACCCTTCTGCTTTCTCTCAGCAACCCAGCTACACTGGCCCTCTGGGACCTGCCTTCTTGCCCTCTGTCCCATGGCCTTTGCATATGCTCCTCTCCATTCTCGCACAATTAATCATGTTCAGTCCTTCAGAATGGAGCTTATATGTTGCTTCTTTGAAGAATGTCCTCTCAGTCAGGTTCCTCGGTAAATCACTGTATGCCTATGTGGCTTTCTTTCTGAGGACCTCACTCAGCTCATTGTTATGCCCTCACTGATGTGAGAATGCCCCCTGGACTTTTAGTTCTGTGAGGATGGAGACCACCTCCATTTTTTTCACTGCCCCCTGACATGTGGAAGATACTCAGTTTAAGTGTTTGCTGAATGAATGGCAGGAGGGAGGGAGGCAGAGCCTTTTCCTGGAAGATAATGTAAAGATAAAAGTAAAATTGCAGTTTTTCTTTATTTTGATTTTAAAGGAAAGAAAATGCTTATAAAAAAAATACAAAACTACTCTCATATTATTTGGTTGCGGGGTAACATGAAGTCCTTTCCCACTGGATGGGGAAGCCAGACTGAACTAAGAGGATGAATAGCTTTAGCTTTACCATAATGTAGTTCAAGTTGGGGCTAAGAGGTAGAATTTCAGGTTAGGAGGAGTAAATACAGAGAAGCGCCCTGTAGTTTTGGCAGTTGAGACATTGCTCCTTTCTCTGGTAAATTGCATTTCTGGAGCCTGGGGGAGGCAGGGTCATAAAGAGGGTCTGATATGCCCGATCATTTCCTGGAGCTTGGAGAATAAGAGGAGAAAGGTGGGGCCACAGAAACAAAATTAAGAAATAAACAAAGGGTACATTTATTTGACTGAAGACTTTTTAAAGGACCTTGAAAAACAGAGGAGCTCCTCAAGATGTTTATGTAATTGAATGTAATTTATCTGGGATTGAAAGGAATAATAATCAAAACATTTTTCACTTAAGTGCATCTGGAGGCATATGAAATTAGACTCTTGATGGTGGCCTATGCCTGCCTGTGTCCTTGGTGTTTTGTCCTCAGGCTGCAGACTGGAAATGTGTTTTAGAGAGCAGACATACAGCACAAAATAGTAAATGAACTTGACCATATTCAAAATGCCCAGCAGTGTAACATCCTCCTCGTTTGGCAGGGAAAGGCCTTAACATTTGGAAACTCAGCAGTGCATTAAGTATTTTAATAATCATTGTTGACACACAAAGCATATGGCCTTTCAGAACGCACTGGGTCAAGTGTTGAAGTCTTCTTCTAGGTTTCTAAAATTACTTTACAAAAATTCAAACAAAATTAAATTAGGCCACATTTCAAGGCGTATTAATTCATGAGCTTTGCATTTTAAGCAAGTGAAACAAGTTTTCTCCTAGGATAAAAGAATATCTATTAGTAACCGATTATGTTAATGGAAAGGGAAAAGCTTAAATCACATCCATGCAAAAATAATAATTTGCATTTAATTAGAAAATCTTGAACCGCCCCATAATCAGGCCAGTCTTGCCGGTGCCTTGCATTTACTATGTCAAGCTTTAAGACCCATCTCAGAAATCCCCCCATCTCAGAAGCCTTTATTGTCCACCTACCTACCATTTATATATGTTATCGATGGCCACAATAATGCTGTGAAATAAGCAACCATAACTCTTAGTGGCTTAAAACAATACAAGTTTCTTATTGCTCACACGTCTATGGGTTAGCAGGGGAATTCTGATCTCTGCCGGCCTCACTCCTGAGTCTGCGTCCAGCTCTAGGGCAGGGAGGGCTCCGCTGATCATGGCTGGCCTCCCTCCTGTGTCTGGGGGCCAACTGGCCAGAGGCCGATCTGTTGGGACAAGTGGGCTCCCCTCCTCATGTTGCTTGCATGCACAGGCCTTTCTCACTTCTCCAGCTGGCCAGCCCAGGCGTGTTCTCAGGTTGGCGTCAGCACACCACCACGGCCATCTCAAAGCAAGAGAGAAAGTAGAAGCATGCTAGCATTTATTTTTTTCAAGTTTCCAGTTTCATCACGTTGGTTAGCATCCGATTGGCCAAAGCAAGTCACATGCCAAGCCCACAGTTAGAGTGAGAAAAGACTACAATGTCACCGGGCAGAAGGTGCGATACGGGGAGACCAGTCTTTGGGGCTGTAAAGCCATCAACCCACGCCCCTGCTCCACCCCCAACCCGAGCATTCATCATTCCCCTGTCTGTGCTACCTGTGTTCTTCAGTCTTTGTTCTGTTATCCTTCTCCCATTGTATTATAATATCGTTGTTAACTTGTCATCTGCATCTCTAAAAGATTAGGGGGTCCCTATGCCTCTGTGCATTCATTCATAGGTATTGGTTGACCACCTGCTCTGTACCTTATTCCTTTACAGACACCCCAGTGCCTAGCTCTGGTCCTAACACATAATAGGTTCCCACTAAGTATGTATTGAGTGAATATATGGATGTTCACACCCATATTAATCTCCTTCCCCTCCCACAGAAAAGGGTGAGGACAGATGCCTCTCAGGGTCCCCAATGAGGAGGAGGCATTCCTGGCCCGGGCAGCTGGTGAGCCAGTGGGGCGCCTACAGAGGGTCTCAGCTGCTCACACATCTGCCCCTCCACGTTCACCCACCTTTCCCCTCTGGAACTCAGGTTTTCTTTTCTCTGTCTCCTTATTTCTCACACAGGAAGGCAGAAAAATCACTGATACTTAACTGATTCTAAATTCTCTTATAATCAGTGCTCCCACGTTCTTTACCTGGAGTCTCTCCACTCCCCAGTGAGGAAGGCTGGGCTCTGCGACTCATTTCAGCTCAAGGTGGGGTCCATTTGAGAGGCTTCCAGCCTCTGGTTTTCTCAGCTCCACAGACCAACAATACTGAGGAGTTCTTAGGAAATGTTTTCTGTAGGGAGAGACACAAGACCCTCTTCACTCAGGGTGTAATTCTGTCAATCTGGTGTTAAATGTACTGCGTCATTATTTTTCAATTCCATAGAATATACAGGGGAGACTTATGTTTCTGGGCAGAACCATCATTTTGAGCCTCTTGGTTTTTCAGCAACTAGTATAAGTTGCTTAGGAGGCAGAATAGAACGGCTTAGGAACCGGGCAGGCTGATCTGGCAGGCCTGCCCTGCCTGTTACTCACCTTCCCAAATGAAGCCTCTTCCCTCAGCAGTCAAAGAGGGTAATGACAGAGGCTGGGAGCGAATAAACGCTGGCAGGTGGTGAGTGAGTTGTAATAATTGTCCAAGTGTGTCAACTGTGAATATATCTATTGTTAAATCATTTCCATTGTTAAATTGTTACTGTTATTATATCATGCCCCATAATTTTATAAGCTGTGAATATACATTAGTATTATTAGTGGTAAAAATTAATGTGTTTTATATTAAATAATCTTCATGCTTATCTTTATTGGAAAATAAAACCATCCCTTCTAGAACTACTTTAAAGGTGGTGCTTTAAAATGGTACTTGGGTAATTTACCTTTTGAAATGGCCTGGAAAATCTCTTCACTCAGTCACCAAGTGTGTATTCAGCACCTGCTTTGCACCAGGTCATTAGATGCTGAGCATATCATCGTGATCAGGGCAGACATTGTCCTCGCCCCTGGTACCTGTCCTGGGATGAAAGGGCTATTATTACTTCCCACTCGCAGCTAACTGCCTGGTACCTACCACTGCATGAATTATCAGAGATAAATGAATATCTGGCTGGCTTTCCCTGGGTAAAATATGATGCGGTGATGCCTCAGGTTGGAGGAAAGGGAAGTTCTGATGTAACCATTTTTTAATGTAGCTATATTAAATTTTAAAACCTTCTATTTCATTGTCAAATAATATACAGAATTTCTGAATCTCTCCCTGACCTTCGCTCTGTCCCTGAATTAGTATATGGCTCAGGGACGAATGAAGGATTGCTTGTGTACATACTCAATTTTTAAAAATTGACAGTGTATCTGTGGAGGTCACTTTTTACTCTGTGTCACGATTCCCTTCTGTGGAATCCTAGACTGGGCCTTGGAATGGAAAAGGACAAAAGTTGGTCAAACCCAAATGATGCCTGTTGTTAATAGGATTGTATCAGTAATCATTTCTTATTTTTAACAAATGTAGCATGTTACGAAAGATGTTAACATTCGGGGAAGCCAGCTTCAAAGGACTGCAGGAATACAGGAGGGCAGAAGTTCTTCCCTTGCTGCCCTGTGTGTTCCCGGACTTCTCCCCACTATGGTCAGTTTGTGAGTGGCTTGGGAGGAGAGGAATTTTAATATTTGACTGAGAAAGATATAATTAGGATGGTAAGTTTGCTATATAATTATGATGGGCAGTACTGTCGTTTAGGTTCTCTCGAAGTAAAGAATGGATGTTGTAGGGTCTTCTTGCATGCCTGGAATTTTCAAACGCGTTTTCCTATGTGCAAAAGATAAGCCCACTATTGCTCTTTTCCAACTGGCAAATCTTAACTGCTTAAGAGTTTGATTGGTTCCAAACGGTTCCTTTTGCTTTCATAGGTACAAACACAAGTGCGCCTTGCCAAAAAGAGCTTTGACAAATTGAAGATGGACGTGTGTCAAAAAGTGGATCTTCTCGGAGCAAGCAGATGCAATCTCTTGTCTCATATGCTCGCAACATACCAGGTAACAAAGTGAGGTTTGTGGCAATGAACCAGGAATGTTGAGGTTTAGTCACAGAAAAATGGTGTTTGAGCTAAAAGTATAGTTTGGGCCTTTCTCATAATTTACTTCCTACATCTCCCCCTTCCAGCAGACTACAGGTTAGTCAATCCAAGTATTGCTAGCTATTCCCTGTTCGTGCTCTGTCGTCTGCGCCCGGCCCCCTGCACTGGCTTAGGGGTGCCCTCTGCCTGAACGCCTCGCCCCTCTTTTGTGCCTGTCCAAACCCCACTCTGTGTGATATTCCAGACCGTGCCATGCCCTCCGGACAGCCTCCTCTGGATCGAGCAGCGATGCCTGTACCTCTCACAGCACAGTCACTTACCCATCAGGCTGTTTTCATTGAATGAACTCGGTTTTGTTCCCTACTAACCCCTAGTTAGCACTTTGTGTCCATCCACAGTACCGTGAACACTGACTGAGTGTGAGAGGCCAAACTCTAGTGCTGTCGGGAATATCTAAGTTACCAAGACCAGAGTCCCTGCCCCCCAAAACTGAAGATTTAGGAAGGAAGTCGCAGACAGTGAAGTCTGACTATATTTTCTGTACCTCAAGGACAGAACAGGGTGTGCTAATAAGTAAAATAAGTTCTACAAAATCCAACGAGGGTCTGAAGAGGGAGACATTGAACCAACTGAGGGATCACAAAAGTATATTGTTCATAATTAGCTGTGGGCTTGAGAGGGTGGATCTGGAATGAGTACAGAGAGAATGGAGACGGGAAAGCCCCAGGTGGTCACGGAAAAAACCCATGGGGATCAGTGTGTTTGGGTGAACAGGGGGGAGTTTAGTGTGGCTGAAATACAGGATATAAGGAGGGGCGTAGTGGGACACGAGGCTGCAGAGATGGGCTGGAATCACTCTGGAGGACCCTGGCAGCCACGGGTGGGCATGCTTCTCTGCGACCCGGAAGTAGAACGGGGCCCTCGAAACGTTAGTAGCTTTACTGTCCTTCTTTACAGACTACTCTGCTTCATTTCTGGGAGAAAACTTCTCACACGATGGCAGCCATCCATGAGAGCTTCAAAGGCTATCAGCCCTATGAGTTCACTACATTAAAGGTATGAAAGCTCAAGAGGCCATTAGAACATCCTGCGAAAGGTTTTGCTTCTATCACAGTGTCCACCGCAGCAAGCAGCATTATTCTGACAGGCTCCACACATCAAAGTAAAAACTATGCCCCTCAATAGTGTCTTCTTTACTGCATCGGTATTCAAAGCCCCAACAACCCAAACACGCAGGCTGGACCTTGGGGTACATGTTACCAGTTACATTGCTGCTCTAAAACCTCATTTGACATTGCTGAAGAGAAGACCGGACACGTTGAGGGTACTCTGTTACTTTTTAAGTATTGAATTCAAATATGCTCCCATGAGAAGGTATTTTTTTTCTCCCTTACTTCTGACAATATAACATTTTATTCTGTGAGCACCATCCAATATAGAATTGGAGTTTTCCATAAGACACTAGCGTAACATTGTCTAATTGCAAAAGCAACATTAAACTCAAATTATTTCTCAACTTAAAAGAGATACCTGCAAAATATCTGATTCTCAGTATTGCAACTGAAGGTTACAGCATTTCGCTTTCTGATGGTTGCTGAGGGTGAGTGCATGTCAAGATAAGGGAGTGATTTGGGCTCCAGAAAGATTTTAAGAATGGTGAGCAAATACTGGGTTTCCAGGTTATGTCCTTAAAACAAAAACACCAGGAAAGAACTGCTAAAGTTCACCTGGGAATTACTTTCTTTCTAATTTTTCAGGCAATTTGTGTCTCCTCTTCTTGCTTAGCAAATATCAAAAAGCAATTTTTTGTTGCCTTTAAATACCTCTCTGATTCTGAGATGTTTGTAATATCACTGCATCTACAAAAATTACTGAGAAAGAAATCCTTTAAAGACCCTGGTCCTGTAAAGGAAGGTGCCAAGAGGAACCCAAGACAATCCAGTTACCTCGTGATGTACCTGACCTGACAACAGACAGGACACCTGGTCATGGAGTGTGTTCTTCACAATCCCTGTCAGCTGGTCACTTGCTTCCCGGCAGGCTGCATGAATGGAATCAGAGTGTGCCTTTTCCTGTTCTGTCAGCTGGACTGTCAGCACTTGAGGGAAGGGATTCATTTCTCCTGTGTCCTCCTGTGTCCAGCCAGCTGACCTGCACACTGTGAACCCTTGGCCTTCCTTATCGCATGCACAGTGTGGCCGCTGTGAGCAAGGACTGTGCTCCTCCCCCCAACCTCCTGCTGCTTCCAGTAAAGCATGGGGAAGGAAGTATCCCAACCAAGGCAGATGGATTAAAAGTGAAAGAGAAAAAAGAGGAACATAGGTAGAAAGAATAAAATGGCAATACATTGTACTTATCAATAATCACTTCACATGTAAATGCCTTAAATGCTTCAATCAAAAGGCAGAGGGTAGCTGCATGGATAAGAAAAAAAGCCCGGGCCTGGCTGGGTGGCTCAGTTGGCGGGCGCATCACCCCCTGTACCAAAAAAGGTTGTATTTGATCTCCAGTCAGGGTACATGCCAAGGTTGCATGTTCAGTCTCCAGTTGGGGTACATACAGGAGACAAGCAATCCGATCCATGTTTCTCTCTCTCCCTCTCCCTTCCCTCTCTCTCTAAAATCAATAAACATATCCTCAGGTGAGGATTAAAAAAAAACAGAAACAAGACCCTTACATAGGCTGTCTACCACAGGCCCGCCTCAGAACAAAAGACACACAGGCTAAAAATAAAGGGATGAAAAAAGATATTTTATGCAAATGCAAATGAAAAAAAAACTGGTTAGCAATTCCTATATCCAACAAAACAGACTTTAAAACAAAGACTATAATAAGAGACAAAGAAGGACACTACGCAATGATAAAGGGAACAATTCAACAAGAGGATATAGCTCTTATAAACATTTATGCACCCAACATAGGAGCACCTAAATATAAAATGCAAATCTTCATGGACATAAAGGGAAAGATCAAGAGTAATACAGTCATATTAGGGGATTTTAACAACCCATTGACATCAATGGCTAGACATCCCAGACAGAGAATCAACAAGGAAATGGTGGCCTTAAATAACACACCAGATCAGATGGATTTAATGGGTATCTTCAGACTGATTAAAATTAGTACAACTCATGCTATTTATATTTTTTACAGAGGCCTGAGCAGAATCCCATGGGTTATTCTTTGATAAAGCAGAGAGTTTGTTTTAGGGCATGGATGTGCATCAGATTCTATTTTATAATACATGCAATTTCAGAGGTTGTCTTCTGAAAGACACTGTATCTGGCACAAATCAGCCAGGTAGAAGATGAAATACCTACCCCAAATACAGTTTCAAAGAAACTTCGGTTTAAGATTAATTGCATGTAAGATACAACATGAAGTTGAACTTGTGCCACACGAATGGAAGAATCCTTATGTGTTTTCCTGGCCTCCTGTGCTGAGGGGAACATGGCTCCTTAATTTTTGTCATGATACTTAATCCTGCAGAGAGGATCAAGCTGATGATTATGTCAGAGGGTTTCTGGGCAGAGAATTTAGGGAAAGTTTGATGGCAATGGTTCAGGACATAATTGCAAATATTTTGGGCAGATGACTCTTTATTGCCTTTTTCATCCCCAGAGCCTTCCTTAAATTATGGTTTAAGTACCAGTTTATGGTTTAATTTTAATACAAACTCCGTAGGAGTAATACAACTGTTAGGGTGTAATATGATTACAGTAATATCAAGAATGTTAAGTGTCCAGAAGTCACCCAAATAAACTACACTTTTATTATGTCTCTTGAATGCTATTCATCTAGGATCTCAAGCTAATAGCTAATTATTTTTTATATGGATTCACACCTATATAATAGAATTCTGTTATTACATGGCCATCATCATGTAGATGGAGGCGCATTGCGTATCCTATTTTATGCCCTGAAACGTGAAAATGAAAACCATCAGTACCTTCTGCATCATTGTCAAGCCTGAGGATGTTACCTGACTTACCAACCCTCTTGCACTAATGTATTTTTTAAATACATGCCATATATTTAGATGTTGATGTGATCAAGTCATCTAACGGATATAATTTTCTTCTAAATGGCACCATGGATTGATAGTGAATACTTTGAAATTTAAATAGGTATTTTTACAATTTATTTGTTCTCCAGATTTACCTAAGTAAATCGCCCCTTAAATGCCTTTTGGGACTCTGGCTGGAAAGAAAACATTGTCTTTGGAGAGGTTTGCCAGGCTCTGTTAATGAAAAGCAACCCATTTGTTTTCTTTGCTGCAGGGTGTATTCTGAGTGTGTTGGTAATTGTGCCATTGCAGCTGTATTTCCTGACTGTTAGTTTTATGCTTGATGAAGGATGATAATTAATGTGTTAAACGCTTGGTGCATCCTGTTTGGAGGGAAGAGTCTTTTGCTTCAGAATTACAAGGATTTAACTCATGCCCCAGACGTTCAAGTTTTATTTCTAATGAGCCTTTCTCTAGAAAATGTGTATAGTTCTTTTTCAAAATAATTATATTGTAAAAGTGAATTGAAAAGTATCCAAGTCAGTATTTTGACATTTTGTAAATATTTTGTGGTCAAGTTTTTTGTTCTATTTTGTATTTTTATTTTTCTGTGTGTGCCAACAGCGTTTACTCAGGCCTGATCTGATTCTGTTGGCTCTGCTTTCAGTGATATACTCTTTCATCATTTTAATTTATGATAGATTTTTGTAGAACGTTAACTTTATGGAAAATTGAGCATTGAAATTTAATATTACAAAATTTTCTAGCCTAATAATTTTAACAGCTCTAATTTAGAGAGACTGTCTTTTAAGTGGTGCCCAATAAAAGAAGCAATGCCAGAATCTTGTATTTTCAAACAATCAAGTATTGATTCATTAAAATGCTACTAAGCATATGCATTTTGCATGAGTTACTGTTAATGTGTTAATTTTACACTGATTCTAAATCATCTGGAAATGTCTTTCATGCGGTGGAAATGATCAAGTTATGGGGATAGGAATGGAATGTTTCTAGCCTATCTTGAAAGCACTGTCACATTTTTAGTGAAAAGAATTCAGACTTAGAGTCCAAATCATGGCTTAAAAACTGAATGAAGTGCCGTCTGTAGGAAGGCAGCGCTCACCTGTGGTCATGTTTGCCTCCTCCTTCCAGGGTGTCGTTTACTTACATATGTTCCCACGGTTCCAGAACCTGCATCTGGGGGGGCAGGGTTGCGGGGGAGGAAACGTTTTCAGGAGTCAAGTGGCTTTTCTCTGGAAAATCTAAAATTCTATTTTTATCAGTGCCCCTTTCGCCCTATCTGGGATGCTGCCATGTGGGTTGAGTTAGGTGCCTGGATAGAGAAGTGTGGGCACTGGGTTCTTTGAAGAAGCGGACACACTCAGAGCTGTTGGACGAGAAGGCCTGTCCCTCTGCCTCTGTATTTTTAAAGGGATCCAAGTGGCCGTGTTTACTGAAAACGTCTGGTAGCAAAGTGTCTTCCTGTGATGTGCCCATCCCAGTGGAAGGAAAACCAGGTTTTTGACTCTGAGTACAGGATAAAGCACAGCATGTAAGAGCTCAGGCTCAGGAACCAGCAGACCTGGCTTGAAACCCAGTACTGTCACTTTTTAGTTGCATGGGGGTGGCCCTGGTAGCCCCACATGGGGGCAGTGGGGATGGACTTATCAGGAATACTGTGTAAATGGAACCAGAAGACGGTCATTGGCAGTATTGACACAGACACTGTTGAGGTTGCCAGATCCCGTAGCCCAGCTTCAATGACTTCCTTACTCGCCTGGGTGATGGGTATTGCAGTGACTTTCACAGGCAAGGCTGTGAGTGGCAGTGGGACAGGTCTCTCGGACCTCGCCCAGGAACCCCACCCTCTCCCGCCTGACTCCCTTGGATGCTCTGGCAGCTCCTTCCCAGCCCGTCCCTTCAGCCCTGCAGGCCAGTCTGGGCTCCTCTGATACCCAGGGGGACCTGAGAGGGCCGGGCAGGGCAGGCCTGCAGCAAGAGAGCGAGGAGAGCCTCCCAGCCAGGCAACGGGCTCATTCTAAAAATGCAG